GCAAATCTCGGACTCGTAATTCGCCTCTGTTTCCTCTTGTACGCATTTAATTTAAAATTTCACGTGGAATAATGCGATTGTGAATGTGTTCTGACTTGCAAGCGAATGAAATTTTCCTCAAAAATGGATACTCGTCGTTTAAATGAAACATTATGAGCATACATCCATAATTTTACGAACTTGATAGAATGATAGAAACGAGTATGTGAAATATTCGAAACACAGTATTTTCTATAATATTTATTATTATAGAAATATTTATTATTAATTGCTTAAATATTTATTATTATAGAAATATTTATTATTAATTAATTTATTATTATTATAGAAATATTTATTATCAATTAATTTATTATTATTATAGAAATATTTATTATTAATTGCTATATTGTTTTATTAACGCATAAAACAATTTTCTACCAAGGTTCTATTTCTTTTGTTCAATCGTATTCTCACAAATATATATACATTACGGTCCAATTGTCACGTTTGAATACTAAAAACCAAAGTTATAAATTTTTGTCGAATTATCAAAATAGAGTCAAAATTATTCCTCGCCAATCGTTTCGTCTGTCGCAATCAGTGGCAAAGAATTCGAGAACCATTCCTGCCGTCTCAACTGACATTAATTAGAAATCATTACACTGATTATCGCCAAGCAAGATAACGACGTTTTCGAATGTTCGTATTTTTCCCAAGAAATCGGTCGATCGTACAAGGACGTTGCAACTTCGAGATTCGAATTGGCAATCCCGTGGTTGATTTAAGACTTGTTTCCTCCACTTGTCAATCTTTCCAAATAACGACCAGTCGCGATTAATATGCGTTTCGAATCGCGCATCGAATCCAAGGAATACAAAAAGCGATCCTTCGTTCGAAGTGAACAGTTTCGATCCAACGTTTAACATTTCGTTTGTACGACGGACATCGATGAATTCTACGAAAATCAAAATTATCTGTGCAGTCAGCCGCAGGAATCTACATACGTACATCTGTTAAATTTCAAATATATCGAGCAATAAACACGAGCCTCAATTTATTTGTATACTATATATACTATACTATATACTATATATTATAATAGTATACTATATACTATATATTATAATAGTATACTATATATTATAATATATAGTATAATATAGTATACTAATACTATATATCATAATATATAGTATAATATAGTATACTATATACTATATATTATAGTATAAATATTATACTATATATAAATATCTATAAATTAGATATGAACTGTCAATATATATAGTATACTATATACTATATATATTTATATATATATTTATAGTATACTATATATAGTATATATTATAATATATAGTATAATATATAGAATACTATATACTATATATTATAATATAGTATACTATATATAGTATAATATATAGAATACTATATACTATATATTATAATATAGTATACTATATAGAAGACTATATACTATATATTATAATATAGTATACTATATATAGTATAATATATAGAATACTATATACTATATATTATAATATAGTATACTATATACTATATATTATAGTATAATACTATAAATATTATACTATAAATATTATATTATAAATATTATACTATAAATATTCTGGTACCCACGAGCGATGCCGTTTTTTTCCAAATTTAACCAACATTTAGTGATTATAATAATTTAAGTAAAATGAAATTTTGCACAGTGTCGAAAAAACGACATTGGTCGTGAGTAAGTATCTCTGTTAATTCGTGTTATACAAATTTTGAGGAATGACACGACGTTTGAAAGTGTAGAAAATGTGTTATTATTGCCGTTGTTGTTGTTGTAATATAAATTTTGTTGTATACAAGACTACACATATGTCCTCTCAACGCTAAAACCCGCCAAAGTCAAAAGATCAAAATGACCAGTTTATAATATTTGTCAGACATCTTATAGACGTGAAAGAAATGTACTTTTAAAGAGATTCAAATAATTTTTCGTAAAACCTGATGAATAGAAAACTTGTATACTCCACTGTATTAATAGAGTTTCTCTGTTTTTTTCTTTCATCTCTGAATTTTGTGCTTTAATCGTAATTCTGGTGTTAAATGTATGAGAGAAATTGTCGAAATTTCTCTGATTCCAATTACCAAATTCGACGAATCGATAATCCATGTTCAGGCACGAGACATTTACCCTTACGTCTTAAATGCTTGATATTACAAATTTATATAGATATCCGTGATTGATTGACACGTGTGTCATAATTCATTGCTTGGAATTCAATTTCTCTGTTAGCTTCTGTAATTTCGTATTTTTTCACTTGCGCGATTGCGGAACGAATAAACATTGGAAAAATTAAATTAAAAGCGAAACTGCTAACGAAACGCGACATAATCTAAAGTGCTCTTAAACGTTTCGCTTGTAGTATGTAACATTTGTGACTAATTGCATTTAAAAATGAAATTTATATCCGATATCTAATCTAACTCCTAATTGTTTTGACAGCGATAGGTCACGTGTGTAGTACAATAGGCTCTGTTTAATTGATCTGCCGGGGAATTTCTATCGAACGCAACAAATACAAAGCACCTCCTGGCTTTATCCAGCGCGGATTTTATCTAGCTTGACTTTTGTATTCAATGAAATTATCATGTCGCAGACGTTAAAAGTTTAAAGGGGAACGTTGTTATTATTGTTGCTTCGGGCATTTAACAATGGAGAGCAATTGACATTTAAAGTGTACACACAATGTAGTCAAAAGCGCGATTGTGTCAACGCCTTTCGATTCGATCAATCGAAATCAAAGATCTTTCGAAAATTTCTTCGACCCTGCCCCGTTCCCTTTATAATCCGATTTTTAAAACTTTTATATTTTTATATAAACATAAATATATTAATAAGTATTATTCATATTTAAAATAAATATTAATATAATAAATAATTTTATTTATTTGTAATAAATATGTCATTATATAAATATAATAATATTATATGTAAATATAATTTATATAATCCGCTCTTCTTATGATGGAAATTGTATCGTTCAAGCTAGTTACCAAAGTTATAAAATAGTTATAAAACAGTTATAAAATACTTGAATGAATAGTTAAATATCTGGCTTGAGTATCCAAGAGTTATATTATCCGAAGTAAATATTTCATTAAACAAAATAATTAACTAAATATTATTATTATATTAATAACAATAATATTATTAAATATAGTATAACTATTTTTCTATCTTTTACACATTAACTTTTACCGCTCACGGATAGAATCTGTATAAAAAAAGAAGAAATATCTGAAGCAACTGTCACACATCACAAGTATGTATGTACGTGTCGTAAGAAAGAAGAAGCATCGAGTGTCGAATCGAATCAAAGTTTTTCCATTTTAAAAACCAACGACCGGAGAAACTTTGAGATGGAAATTCTCGATCGTCGAAATGTTTCATTGACGCTCAACCCATTTGCGCTGGCAACTGATTGCGGACCGTAACGAGTGACCGAACAACGTATACAGTAACTTGTCGCTTTCTTTTTGAACTCGTCGTCGCGATATCACCGGACAGAAATTATTGATAAGTAATAGATTTATTATTTGTTTTGCCTATTTTGTTTTACTCAAATATTATACTCAAAGCTGAGAGAAATGTTACAATTTTGGAATAAAAAATTCTCGACCTGCGTGACACGTCATTCCAGCGCAAGAAGGTTAAATCACCCCTCTTTCAAAATCTCCGATTCCAAAATAAAATGCCCACGTTTAAGCACTTGCGTTGGCGACTGATTGCGGACCATAACGAGTGACCGAACAACGTAACTCGTCGCTTTCTTTTTGAACTCGTCGTCGCGACATCACCGGACAGAAATTATCGACAAGTGATAGATTTATTATTTGTTTGCCCTCAAATTGTACACAAAACTGAGAAAAATGTTACAAATTTCGGTACAGGAAATTCTCGACGTGCGTGACACGTCATTCCACGCACGAAAGAGGTTCACGCGGGCCCTTAAATTCGACGGGACGGAGTAGAACGTGAAACGAAGTTAAATGGACAGCTCACGTGGCTCGTGATTCACAGGGTTGAACATAGAGGCAAGACGTCATCCGCAGAGGGAAACGTTCCAAGCGTTAGCGTACCTAGAGCCAATGTCCAAGAAGGTGTTGGTTACGAGTCGATCAGTGTTCGCTCACTCTGACAGAGGAGAAAACACCAGCTGTTACGCATGTACACCGTCTCTATCTGTCGGGAGGCAGTTTCGTACGTCGCCGCTTTATGAATTCGCGCGAGGCAAACGTGCGAAGCGCCGCCGAGCTGGCGGGCATTGTTTCGACGATGATGTCAACACAATAAGAGTACACGCGCGTCTACGTACCGTCTTTTTTTTTTTTCCTCGGTCAATTATATCTGTCCGCGATATCGTGCAACGATACAACACTCGTGTCGATAAGACGTAACGATCTAAGCGCGACTACGTAACTCGCTGTCGCTTTTTTCGTTTCGATCTCTTCATCATCCACGATCATCACGATCCACGAGACGTGCTACTGTGCTAATGATGGATCAAGCAACGTATTATCTTTAACTACGACAGTGGAAACAGCCTGTTATTTCGCCTGTTATTTATTACTTCAAACAAAACGTGTCGCGCGAGGATCTTCGCGCTCCCCTTGGGAAATTCGCGACGAATAATTAAGGGAAGACGAAGGAGAAAAGAAAAATAAAAGGGAGGGGCGGGAGAAACGTGTAATCGTTCGGTTGGAGTATCGCGTTCGCAGTGTTTGGCAGCGAGAGCGCGAGGCGTAAAAATAAAAGCCCGTGTGAACTGTCGTTTTTCAGAACAGCGAGCGAATCGGAAAAGAGTAGGCGCGTGCACGAAATCGCTTCCGTGGCGTGGACATGGCGTCGTCGATTCGTTACGTCACGTCAGTAGGGAAAAACAGCCGCGGGAAGTGGTCGCGCTTCCATTGGAAGCGAGCGTGGCAGCGTTTACTTTCAGCTCACTTACCGGACGATCGGCCGAAGACAGGACAGCAGAGTTATCTCACGTAATCGTCTCTTTCTCTCTCTCTCTCTTTCACTCTCGCTTTTTCTTTCTATCTCTCTCTCTCTCTCTCTTTCGCTCTTTCTCTCTCTCTCTCTCTCTTTCTTTCTCTTTCTCTCTGAACAATCCGATACACACTCTCTGCCTCTCGTTTCTTCTTCCTTCGTGTCCCACTGCTGGATCGAGAAATTCTTCGACGAATGTTCCCTCGTCCCTCGGTGAACCTCGAAGCCAAGCTTTATCTGCCGGATTTGCACGAACTCGTTTCGACGAACGAACGAACGAACGAACGAACGAACGAGGACCAGGCTTTGTCTTGATGCACGACGGCCCGACGATTCGCGACGATTTTTACGAAGATCGGCAACGCGATCCTTCCCTCTGAATCTCTCTCTCTCTCTCTCTCTCTCTCTTTTTCTTCGTTGGAACGTGAAATCAAGGAGGAAGGGATCAACAACAGAAAATGGAAGGAGGAAGGAGAACGAAAATTATTTAAAAAAAAAAAAAAAAAAAAAAAAAAAAAGAGAAAAAAAAAGAAACAATTATAAACAGCAAAATAAAAGAAAGATATCAGGCTTGC